CAATGGTTACTTTTGGAATTTGAGCAGCTTCCCACCTACAAAGGAAATAGAAGTACTCGATACAATTAAAACATAGTTGTATTAATCCTAGAAAAAATTAATTTTCCACCTATCAGTCATAAAAACAACTCTAATAAGAATTTCACAAATTAATGCAATAAAGTCAAAGAGGTTCATAATAAGATTTAATATCTCAACAGAAAATAACTAGAAGGAAACAAGTATTTTGTACCAGCAGCTCCATAAGACCGACCCTAATAAGCAGAGAAATGGCCACCAAATTAAGAAAATAAAACTTGTGCTAGTATCATTGATGATGAAAACCATTCTAATGCAGGCCATGGCATCATTACCATAACACGGGAGAGCCAGGGAGGTTTACATCAAATTGACAAGGAAACTATGGTGAACCAAAAAACTTATAATTTAAAGTTTGATTAGTTGGTGAAAGGGTAATTTAGGGTTTAGTGGTTGAAATTCTTACTCAGAAAATGGAAGTTTACTTAGCGCAGAATAGATGATTTTCCAGCCTAAACAGGCATTGATGTTTTTACAGCTGCAGCACCCAGACTCCAGCAAGTTTAAGTTAGTTATAGATTAGTCACACTGGGACCTATGTTCAGATTTCTCTGGAGTCCCACCTTGAATGTTGGGCTAGCAGTGGAACTAAGGAATTGTAACAGCTATTATACAACTAATTACTGGCACTCTATATATAAGCATGCAAATTCTTTCAATTACATGAGAACACATTTCAAAGAATTCAGCAGCCGTTGTACTTTCTTTGGCTTGGTGTGAACTGTGAAGCAACCACTAAGAATATGTGTGAAACCTACATCTTATTATCATCCTTTCTTTTCTTGCTTCAAATCCAGTTCTGCTTCAAGCAAATCAACCCTAAATTAATCTCCTTAAAATCCTAGAATAGCCCATAACAAATTAACCCTCAATTTTCAACACTAAACAAAATCGCATTGCCAATACATAAATAAACTAATAATTAATTCACAATTTAAAGATCAAGAATGATTACCTGACACGCCTAAGATATTCTAATCCATCCTCTGGAGGACCAGAATCAAAGTCAGGTTCCCCTTCTACTATGAAAGCAGGCCTAAGAATGCTGGTATAATCTTCATCACTGTTGTCATCTTCAATACGTTCTTCTTCTACATCAATGAAGGCATCTTCATCTCCAACATCATGTGTACAAGTAAGATGCAATGAATATACATTTTCAGTCCCATTATCCTCCATGTATTTTAGTTCATTATCCACATTTTCAAAATAGTCTTCCCCTGAAAGTGATGGCAAACTTTAGAAGTGCTAGCGCAATTCAAAACTCCAATAATCAAAAGGAATGGCAACATTACAACGCAAGTAACAGAAAACAGCTAATAGCATCTCTTCTCATTCACATGCAAGACATTCAAAAAAGTTGAATTTCATTAAAGAATATCATCACTTTATTAGTTTCTGGTTACAAAAGAATGTAACATATCATCTGTATTACTAACAAGCTATCACCAAGAATTAAAATCTATGCAAAGTAGCCTATAGAGGCAGTAAACACAGATATAATGCACCTAAATATGCACAAGAAAATTCTATGAATAGAATTCTTAAACATAAGGCCTTTTGCAGATCACTTCAGGCCATTCTTCAATGTACAAAGATATTGAGACCATTCCTTCTTCCCCTTCCAGCAACCAGACCTGTGACAAACAGAAAATGAACCCATCAAGTTGACACTCTACGAGCTGGATTCTAGTAGATGGAAGATCGAAACCGCTCAGATGTGTATGAGCTTCTATATTAATTATAAGACACCAGTTTTTCTATGGAAAAGAACTGAACAAACCCCAAGGAGGAAAAGCTTAAAAAATGACTTTTTTTTGGAAAAAGGAAATTGCAATTTTCTATAGAGTGGTTTCCAGGAATGAAGAAAACATAGCAAAGGAAATAAAAAACTCAGAAGACCTGAAGCGCAAAGTAATTTTTTCACTATTAAACTAGTCAAAATTTTGTTTTTAACAAAAAAGAACCTGCTTGCTGGAAAGGCAACCAGAGAGCACCACCAAGTACTTAGAAATGCATATGGATTACAAGCATAACATATTTGAAATCTTTGTCTGCATAATAACAATTTTAACTTGAGCATGAACAACAAGAGTCTAGATTCATAACAGATATGGGTCTCTGCTATCTTTGAATGCAAGTATGGGGAAACTATTAGGATAGTGTAAGGCACCCATGAAAAAGATAGGCAAAATGAAATTTAACAACAGCAGGAAAGAAATATCTACCACGGTAAAAAAACAAAGAACCCCAATTTTCAGGTATCACAAATGTGGTGCCTAAAGATAAATTAAAAACTAAAAGGTGGATAAATATGAAAGAACTAATTGCCTATTCTTTAGTTGGACAAGTATGAAAACAGAGAATCCCAATTTTCAGGTATAGCAGGTATAGTGAAAAAACACAAAGTAAACTAACAGACAGGTCAGTAAGTATAAAAAGAATTAATTTCAGATTCTTCAGATCAGATAATATTCATTAAAGCTTAATCCCTTATATAAAGAAACACTGACAATTAGTTTCCCTGGCCACTGAGCTACACTAAAGAAAATCTATGGTATAGCACTCACAGTATGCCAAGTTTTACGCCAGGCTATCAGGCTACATATCAAAATACTAATCATTCCTTCCTTCAGAGTTAAACTAAAACAGCAATGAGCTCTCTCTCTCTTAACAAAACCTTTGGTATAAACTACAAAGCCTCATTCTAAGAAACTACCAACTTAGTAAATGGTTCAAAATTAAATACAATGCAGAAGAGAACCACACACGGCTCACCACTATTCATCACAAACTAAAAAATCTAAAAGATTAATGAAGTTCTATCACCACCAGATCATTTGCCTATTTATTTATAGCAGCAAACAAGAATCCCGAATAACAGCAATAAAACTCTACCGTATGATGTATTAAACTAATGCAGCGGACTCTTGCTAGAGTATGTAAAAACAAGAAAGACGTTGACCAAGATAAATAAATAGCAATAACTAAAACCAAAGGCATACTTGAAGGATGAAAATTCGCATCTGAAAAGAGAGATAAAACCATACTCATAATTGCAGGGGACTCTGCCTTCCTTCCAAAGCAGTGACGAGTATCAGCGCTAAAACTAATGTTCTTCTGATGCTTCCAGATTGCCAAGCCCTCATACTCTTTGATTACAGCAGCACCAAGACCATTATACATATCCATCCAAATTTTCCGTTGTTCTACAACCTTAGCAAACCTTAAAGCCTCTAAGTCTTCTCTTGAGTACATTATCTTGCTTTGAGTGTTGCTTTCTTTCCTACCATTTGGAACTACAACAATTTTTGTTAACTCCATATTCCTCTCAGCTTCCCCTAAAACCTTTTTTGCATTCTTGCCCTTTCTTCGGGATCTTTTAGCTTTCTTACCATCAATATCCTGTTTTCCCTTCTTCTTCTCATTGTTTACAGTGCCATTTCCGGTTTTGGAGAGTGGAAATGATTCAATCAACGCCGTATCATCGATGACTTCAACCTTTAAAGAACCTCTAATAGGTAAATCAAGTCCTTCGATACCATCAATCTTCTTGCCATCATCAATCTTGGACGAGTCTGTTGCAGAACCAAAGGTGTGTCCAGTGCAGGTTTTGGCACCAAATATATTCCCAAGTTCAAGCTCACCCAAAAGTCGTCTCTTTTCAGCTTCCAGCGCATTTTCAGAATCCAAGGCTTTTCCTTTGATAGCCCTTTTCTCCTCAAATTCCAAACACGTCCCCAGATGTTCCTTCTTACTAGCTTCAAGAACTAAACCCACATCAACTTCAATGGCATTGACCTGGGTATCAACTTCTTGAACTCCAAAGAAGCCCTCTTTGCTTCTCACATTATCTTCTTGTTCTTTCTCAAAAGGCCCAGAAAGGGAAACATTCTCGGTGGAAGATTGAAGACCCAGTCCTTGGTTTCCCTCAAAAAGAAGAGAAGAGCACTTAAGTTTCTTCTTGGGACTGCTATCATCCAAAGCTGTTTCTTCTTGGTGGTGGTGGAGGGTGGTCATTTCAGGGAGAGGAGACGAAAGTTGAAGTTGAACGAGAGTTTCTTCTTCTTCAACTTCTTGTTCAGCGTCAAAAGTGGGTCTACGCTTGGAACCAGCGTATGAATCGGAATCCACTTGATCGTCAGCCATCAATGAGAGAGGGAGATTAGAGAAACTGTGGATTCCAAAGCAAGAGAGAGAGAGAAAGAGGTCTGGCGACTGGGACTGGGGTTTTAGGATGGGGCTTGGGATAGAAATGAAGCGGTTCTATTTTGTATTTTCCCTTGTTAACCGGTAACTAATATTTATTTTTCCCTTCGATGAGAGCATCCAGACTCCGGAAGAATGGAGGCTGCCTTCTGGGCTGGGTACGATACCATGACCAAGCCCTTAACGCTGGAGCGAGCAAACGACTAGCCCTAAACGCTGGGTCATTCGGCCACTGGCCTCTCGTTTTTGTTCCTCTCTATGTGCTTAAACCGTAGGAGGCAAGATTGCTTAAATTCTAGCATTTCTTTGCAAAGTAAATGCCAGTCTCATATCTTCATAAATAGGCATATTATCAGAATTTTAAAAGCTTTCAATTTAATTTAAACCTTTAAAAGTGAGTGAAATTAATGAAGTAATGAGCTTTGTCTTTGTATAGCACAGTATAAGCCAATGAGCCTTCTTTTAATCTCATAATTGTTACGTGAGTGGATAACAGAACAGATTACAAGCAAAGCTGATGTGGGAATGAATGTGTAGTCGTTGCCAAATGATAAGAATTCGAAATCAGACTTTTTGCAGAGGGTTAGGCAGTAGGCCTGGGGAAGATGAAGCATAAGCTAACCAACAACAAATCGCATACGTGCACTTGGTTTAATTCATTGTGCCCAGTAGAAAATATACGTACAAATAAAATCATTTGCGCGGAACAAAAAGAAATAGGAAGCAAACCATACTCGGTAACATTAGATCCACCACACAACTCAATCCCTTGGTCAATTTTATGACTACAACTCAAAAAAGGCATCAACACCCGTGTCCAAACCAGCGAAAGACAGATCATATCAGCGACATTTTAACAGTCCAACCCAATCCTAGACATCCATGTCATATATGAAAAATTGGAAAGAAGAAATATAATATTTAGTGATCTGATGAAATCTGCCAGTCAAATGAAACCAAACTGTGCGTAGGCTGCAGAAATTTCAATGAAAAGGTGAAGAAACTGGAGTCATCTGCTTTTAAGTCTCTGGTGCTGGAGCTGGAGCTGGAGCTGGAGCCTTCAACAATGGTTGGAGGGCCTTAACAACAATGCTCATGTTTGGACGGAACTCAGCTTCATACTGCACACACAATGCTGCCACAGCTGCCAGCTGCATCAACGGAAATAGGACAAAAAACCATTTAAGTACTAGTTCTGTGTGCCTGTACGTGTCTTCTAGAGTTCAAAAAGACCAAACCCCACACCCATCCCTATGGGAAAAAAACTATATTTGGGCAAGTTATGCAGACAAAGGATAGGCATACCTTAGCAACTCCTTTGGGAGGATATTCTCCCTTCAGTTTTGGATCTACACATTGTTTAACTTTGTCTTCACTCAGTCTTGGAGTAGCCTAATTTGGAGACAAAGAAATGCTAAAAGAGTGAGAACCGAAAAGGTCATGCACTAAGTAAAGAAACAGAAATGCACCATCGCAATGGTTGACAGAAAGCAGAGAAAGCAATAAACTCACCCAAGTAACAAGACTCTGTTGTCCACGAGGCATTGTGTGGTCAACAGGTTTCCTCCCAGTCAGAAGCTCTAGAAGGACAACCCCAAAGCTATACACATCACTCTTCTGTGTCAACTGTCCAGTCATTGCATACCTGGAAAACATTACAGCCACAAATCAGTTAACATCCTAAATAATCTACAGCTCCTCAGGAAGACAACCAGATAAAATGCATATAAAAAAATACTGGTGCTCCCTTCACGTCCTTGGTTCTAGCAACACAGACAGTGGACTCCACACACAGCCCATTGCACCTTAAATGCATTTGTCCATCTATCTATCATAAAGAGGTGGAAAAGAAGGTATGGAGTCCAAATAGCAGCATCATTTGGGAAAAAAGCTGACATCAATAGGGATTTTTGCAGAAAAAATAAAAACATATTTGTATGTCAGACCAGTTACCAACATCTGCATAATTTCCTAGCTGTTAACTGAGAATCACATTAAATGTAAATTACATATCCTATCCTATACATGGCAACAACCCGTGACTGGTTGGTTCAGAAAAAAGCAAACATAATGTCAAGGAGCTTAGAAAGTATACTCTGGAGCATGATAGCCAAAGGTCCCCAAAACTCGAGTAGAATGAAGGCGAGCAGCCATGTCAGGAGCCTGGTTTGAGAGATTAAAATCTGCAATCTTTGCTTTGAAGTCTTCGAAGAGAAGCACATTGCTAGATCTAATATCTCTGTGAATAACAGAGGGTTGAGCCTTCTCATGCAAGTATTCCAAACCCCTTGCAGCATCAACTGCAATTCTTACCCGCTGCATCCAGTCAAGCACCGGACCTGGTTGTGCCCCTTGAACTCCCTTCCTTCCTATAATTGCCAAAAAGAAACAAAAAAGTCAAACAAATAATGTCAAATTTGCATAACAAAATTTTGGTCAGATACATCTATAACTTGAACTAATATATAATATGATGGCTTCACAAACCATGCAATATGTCATGTAGTGATCCCATCGTCGCAAACTCATATGCAAGCACGCGGAGATTTCCTTCAACACAGTAACCTTGCAATTCGACAAGATTGTCATGCTTCAATCTTGAAACCATTGAGACCTAAACAAAGAAAATCAATCATGAAACCATCTTCAACCTAAACAAAGAAAATTCGTACAGTGGAAGTGCTAAGAAACAAGGGGAAACATCAAGCTTTTGATTCAGGCACATTGATTAGAAAGACCCTTCTGTCAAATTGCTTACACACCTGGGTCAAAAATTCCACGTTTGTTTCAGGCTCAGAGGAAACATCAAGCTTTTTCACAGCCACAGCTTTTCCATTGTTCAAGTTTGCAAAATAAACTCTCCCATAGGAACCCTCACCAATCAAAGCCTTTGATCCAAAAATATCAGTCTTTTCTTTCAATTCTTCCAATGATAATGCAGGTACTTCAATAGGTGGTGCTGATTTTTGCACTTCAAGTTTGGCGGGAGCTGCCACCTTTGAGTTTTTTTGATGCCCTGGAAGCACATAGCATGAGCAATGAGAAATGATTTTAAGAATACAAGCATGCGAACAGCAAAATGATAGCAATTGAACAATTAAACAGTAATAAGAAAAAAAATTTGCAAAGCACCTTTGACAGAGACATCCATATTTCAAATACCAGAGTAGAACATTGGACAACATATGCCAATCATCTTAAATTTTATGCCAAACCATCTTTCTTTTGGAAAAGACTAAAAATTAACTTAAACAAGGAAGACAGCTTAACATTAACCTAGCAAGTAAAAGCCAAATATAAAACAATTATGGCAATCTAGGTTAATCCCTAATTCTTGCCTAACTAATTACAAGCTTGAATCACCCAAAAAGTAAAGGTTATTATTGTACAAATATCAATAATAAACAAAATATTTTGGGAGTGTTATTTTCCTCTCACGCCTTTTGCATCCTAAAGGCACATGCTATGCAAATAACATACCTAAAGCCTAAATGCACATGGTGGACTAGAAATATAGAAACTTCCACAGTGAAAGTCAATGATTAGAGTGCAAGGTAGATTTAAACCAGAATATAACATGTTATGAAAAAAAAACCAAAGGCAAAGTAAGAGAAAATAATGACCTCCTCTTGTTCTCAAAAAAAAAAAGAATATTCCAATTATATTTCAAAACAAAATGATAAAAGACATATATATGCCTTACTCACAATCAAGAGACAGAATCAAAGAGCAGCCATCACAAAAGATGTATAGCATTTAATACTTTCTACACCAAGTAAAAAACAGTTGATGAACAAGACTAACAAATACTAAAAAATGCCTGAGTCGCATTTCTCTTCATCAGAATAAGGACAACACCTACAAGGTGTTCTGCAAAACTTAATTTAGTAACATCCATATTTGCCAGAACATAACTAAGCAAATCATACAACGAAAAAATTCCAATAGTAAATCAGAATTACCAAATCAAGTTAGCACCAAAGTAACATACCATCTGTATGATGCTTGGGGCTCTTCAAGTGCTCATTTTCATGTGATTGGTAATTCTCCTCTACCTGACAGGAACAGCAAAGCCACCGACGCATCCTTGTTCTTTTCTTCAAATACAAATCGTCAGTATTTTCTAGTCGAACAAAGTAGCTAGGAGGAGGTGCATGTGCCTGCACAATTGCAGAAGACATTTATTCATAATCCAACAATGGCATTGTGAAATTAAACTATGATAATCAAAACAAATATCTATGCAGAAAAAGGTTGCAACCAAATTTGCCTGATGCCAGGACAGGAAACAAGCTGAAAAAGGATTGCAAGAGGTCAAACTCCAATAAAAGTCAAGAACGTTTAAATGAAAAACGTACAATTAATAAAAGTACAAAATTTGACCAAAAAAAAAAGCCCCCTCAGCTATATTGATCCTGGAAAATTACTACCAAAAAGAAAAAGGACTTTTAAAAGTTGAACAATGACTGATGATTGGATAGTAAAATTCATTAACCTCGTGTTAGAGAAAACAAGCCAATACATGTACCAATAAAAAAAATATACATCAATTCCATATATCCGGAGAAAAATGTCTGATCAAAATTGAATGCAATGTCATACAATTTAACCCAGTAAAAAAAAGCTAAAAAGTTACATATTTTTTCAGCAGAATTGAATCATTCATAATTAATTAAACCTTAATGAGGCGAATTTTCAATAAAATTCACATCTTTAACATTCGGATACATATATATATAAAAGAGAAAAGAGACCCATTAAGCCTTACCACCAAGCCACGCCGATAACACCCGTCTTCCATTAAACAAAAACAGAGAAATTGAAGACAAATAAAAAATTAAACGACAACCCAGAAAATTAAGCCCGAATTCTAAAATGGGTCGACGCAAATTCACCAAAGAAATCAAAGAATCAAAAGATAAAATGAAACCCTCAAGTTTGCTTCCAAATGAGAGAAAGAGAGAGGGAAAAGGTGGGTAAAAATAATGAAAGAAAAAAGAGAGAGACAGATAAGCAAAAGCAGAACAGCCTTAAGATCGAAACCGAAATAAAAGGATTAAAATGGAAAAACAAAGTTAGAAAAAAAAAAGAAAAGAAATATACCTGGTTTTTCTCTCTCTTCCTGATTGTTAAACAATCTTCTCTCTTCCTCTTTCTAGGGTTTGTTTGTTGTATTAGTTTTTTTTGGGGGGATGGATTGGGTGTGTGTTGGAGAAAGAAAGACAGAGAGAGAGAGAGAAACAGACAGATACAGAGAGAAATAGGAAGATTTGATTTTGAAGGTTTTTGGTTTTGAAGGAAGAGAGAGATAGATGAAGAAGAAAAGGCAAATTGACAGAGAGGCAAAGGCGACGCGGGGAAAAAGATAAATTCAATAGAAACTCTCTCTCTCTCTCTCTCTCTCTCTTTAATTTAGCTTTTATCTTTTTCTCTCTTTTAGATTCTACCTATAAATGGAAGCTCTTTTATTTTCAAAAAAAAAAAACAATTTTTACACACCAAAATACACCCAGTAAATATTTTCCTTTCCTTCCAAAAACATAGTATTTTTCATTGTTTTGCCTTTCAAATTTCTGGGTTTATGTCAATATCTTTGAAGTTCCCTAGAAACATAGGTTTTCTTCTCTTTCTAGAAGCATATTGCTTCTCTCCTTGTTGGGACAAAGGACAAGTTCTTAGCTTTAGATGAAGAAAGCAAGGGCGGTGGAGGAGAATAAATTGGCCCAAAAGCCAACTGTTTTTTTCTGGTTTTATGTGTACTCTTACTCCATCCTGCTTATTTAGTATCATATTATAATGCTTTTGACACGTCTCCATACCTTGCTACTGTATATTTTTTTTCCTGCTCTAGTAATCTACAACTAGAACCATCAAGCACTTAGTTGTACGTTTTAAAGATTTGGGTCAGGCTTTAACCCCAAAATGGCATCAAGTTTTGATATTTCCATTCTAAAGTTTTTGACTACAACGGCTTGATAGAGGTGTAATGGTAGTTAACATCATTTTTCAAATTTAAATAAATCTGATCTTTTTCTTTTGTTTTTAATTTACAAATTTAAATTACTCTTATGAAATAATTTCAATGTTCTCGATTCAAGATTCAAACTCAAATTTTAATAATTAAAATGTTCATTTGAATTTTTAAAATACATTTCTTTGTCGGATTTGATTATCGAAAACCTATATGCATTTAATAGGATTAAAGTTGAAATTCATCGCATTATCTTTAATTACTACATTTAATACAAAAATAATATTATAAATGGTATTTTAAAAATTAATTTTTTTTATTTAATATATAATTCTAACCAAATTAAAGCAAAGGTAAGGCATCTATGAATGCAAAAGAGGAGAAGAAGGAACCTGACATCATGGGATTCTAATGATTGATGGGACAGATTAAGACATAATTGGAAGAGTGTGTTGGTTGCCTATGCTAAATTCCAATTGATCGATGACTCAATTCTTCTTTCATCATTATAATTTAATTAATATGTCTCTTATACCCCCAAAAAAGCATATTTTATTTATATTTTCAATGGAAGATTTCCCTCTTCAATGTTGCTTGACAAGGCCTTTTCATTATTAGTTCAACTAATATGCTTTCTTGACAGACAAGCAACTATGGAAAGACAAGAGAAAATTAATAATACTATTATCACGTTAAATGTTTTAAAAATAAATAAATAAATAATTATTTTAATTTCACTTCAAAAAAATAAAATATATTGAAAAATTTATAAACGTTATACATTTATTAAGTTAAGCAAATATTTTAGAGAAAAAAGTAATGATTTTGTGACATTATATGATCTTTCTTGGTTTTTTGACATATTTACGAGTTATATATCGTGATGATTAGATTAAAATTTTATATATAGTTTCTAACTAGTTGAAGAGAGTATAAATTCACAAAAAGAAAAAAAAATAATAAACCAGTTTAGATTATGAATTTCTTTACTCTTTTTTTTAAAATTTATACATAAATTTCTCCTTCAAAAAATAAAAACCATATTCTAAACATTTATCTTTTCTTCCTCCTGGATTAATTTCCTCAATATAAATACACCCATCTAGCTGAAATTGTGGAGGATGATATGATGTTTGGGATTAATAGAACAGATAATAGTGGAAATAAAAGACAAGTAAATAAATAGTCATTGACCTTTGACCATATCAAAGCAAAGTCAAGAAACAATCAATCAATTTATAGTTAAACATTTTGTTCATATGAAATGAGGCTTTGAGGTATGTCCCACATTAATTTGTCACATTCTTTAACTCTTTTTATCCCAATTTTTTTTTCATATTTAGGCAATAATATTTGAGATCCTTTCTTATTTAAAGGATGAATTGTAAGTGAGCAGCTGCAAAGAGTATGGTCAAAATGTAATAACAAAATTTTGTATGGGCAATGTGGATGACTTTGAGGCAGAATCATCTTAGAATCTCGAAGTTTGTATCTTTCCTGTCAGGCTGTCATTCTTTGCAAGGGCATGGACCATGGTATGACCCTCTCGGCCTAGAGCCTGGAGGGGTAGGAATTATGGGCAACAAGGTCAAGATGGAAAGTTCCAACAGCCAAAAATTTTTAATGTTTTTGTGCCTCCAAAGAGGGCTGTGACAGCTTTGGCCTTTCTTGCTCTATACTAAAAGGAAATGAGAAATCCCCACCCTTGCCATCAAATCAAAGTGGGTTTTGCTTTCTTAGTAAGAGTCCAAGTCAATGGGTTATATTCAATTGAGTATAGACTGAATGCGATGGGTGGATATTCAACTGCCTGAGAAACTCAGAACATTTCCATTTTTCCTATATTATATTCCCATTGCTCTTCCCACCCAACCCTCCCTTGGCCAACATATTTGGTGATTTCTTGATAGATTTGGAGCATAATTGGGCTTGACATAGGCTTTGGAAGTGAGGGCCTATTCTCAGTTCTGAACTAGCGGCAAACTTCTAAATATTTGCCACATTCCCAATTGTGGAGAAATCTGGACACCTTTGGTTTGAATAAACTGGCTCAACTTTATTACAACTCATGCTTCATTCAGTTTTTGGCAAGTTCTTAACACATACTACAACTTATGAACAATTGCTGTCTCTGAAACTTGTATACAGAAACCCTTCAAAGCATTGTCACTACTGCATGATGAACAGGGAGAACCATGTAGTTGTAAAACTGACTGATGATGGTATGTATGCAAGGGAGAACTGTATGATAAGCTACTTTTACTTCTCAAGCAGAGACTGCAGTTCTTTCTGCTGAAGCTTTTGTAGGAATTTGCTCCTTGAAACCCAACATCTTATTTATTGCGCCAATATAAGCCTTGACACTGGAAACAACAATGTCCATTCCTGCACCAGTTCCACTGGTACCAAAGGAGAAATGATTTTATGCACTGAATTTTGGAGGTGGAAATAGAAAAAAGTCAATGAAAACAAGGCCAAGAAAATTGACCTACCTAAATGTTCGATGAGTGATTTTGCCAGTCAAAGAATGAGTAGACAGGTGACTTTTCTCTGTACGAATTAGAACACGGGTGGTGGCTATGGCATCAATGCCTTCTGTAACAGCAATCAGGGAGTACTCGAGAAGTGTAACTGGTTCCTGCAAAATTACGGAAATTATATCGAAGTATTGCTCCACAATCTCAGTAAAAGTATGTTCAGAAAAGTATTCTAACATGAGAGAAGAGGGTGGGAAGATAGAGTGCATGGGGAAAAACTAGAAAGAAGAAAGGGAAATTATGAGCTAATCGAAACTGTCGTCGATATCATCACTCTTAACAGCAGACAGTCACACCCCATCACAGACAAAAAGACAACCCTCGGAAAATATTAATTGAAGAATGCTCACATAATTTTCTTGATGCAATGTGGGAAGAGAAACGAGGTAGAAAGTGAAGAAAAGGGAGAAGAATGAAAGATATTCAATTAGGGAAAGACTAAATTCGAATTCCCGTTCTCAGAGAGCTAACTGATTTTTTTTTTTATGTATAAGTAAAATTTTCATTTATCCAAAGCAGCAGTAAAATACCTGCCACAAAAAGAACTTAAGGTTACAACCCAAAAAGCCCTAGTCATAAGCCACAATTCAATTAAGAAATGCTAGATGAAAATAAACAAGGTTCTCAAAGCAGGCAACAAGAGTTTGTTTCCATGGCATGAGAAATGGCAAATTAAGCTTATGTTAAAAAACAAATCTATGGACCAACTAACCAAACAAAACTAGCCATTTGCTCTGGTATTAAATTTAGGCAGCATGGGAAGAGAAGTTAGGGAGAGAAAACAGGAGAAAGAGAGAAATCTGAGGCAAAAGAGGAAAAGAACAGAAAAACTAGGGAGAAAAGTAAAGAAGAGAAAGAATTTCACTTAAAAGGTGAAAGCAGAAAAGACCAAATTGAAGTTTAATATTCTAACTGCAAATTATGAACTAAAGCATTTATAGTTACAGCCAATGAAACACTATAAATAAAGATTAAATTCAAAAAATAACGTTAATTATCATACACAAAATCTTAATTAACCCTAACAATAAATCTTGGATCATATCTTATCAACACCCAACAGAAAATCCTAGAACAAAGCAAAATGAATAATTTCCTACATCAAACCTTTATAATGAGATCAATAGCTTTATAAGCTGAATCTACCGGCCCAGTTCCAACAGAGCAAGCAACATGCTCTTCCCCATCAGCACTAATGAGTTTAACCGTTGCAGTGGAAAGACCAAGAGTTCCACAAGTAACCTGCACGTCCAGTTAAATAAAACTTGTAACTTAAAACCTAATTCAAACCAGATGATAACAACATGGTATAAAACACAGTTACCAGGATCGCTGCTACCCCCTAGAAATGCAATCCACTTCATATATCCCAGATCGTGGTTCTTTTGCATCCTGGATCGCTTTAGTAAGCGACCTGGATCACCATTGATGGGTGAAATAGAAAGACAGGGACATCGTGATAAGTCAGCAAAGAAAGAGGTACGAACAAGAAACAGTGAAGAGAGAAAGAGAAAAGGAGATGACCGGTCAGGAAAAAAAATTTAAATAGAAAAAGAAAGGAAGAATAAGGAAACTCCAAAGTTGGGGGTAGACAGGGTATGACGGCATGAGTTAACTTTTAAATCATACAAAAGCATGGTTTTGGATTTTGATTAATTTGTTATTGAGGCTTTACCAAAATCACTTCAAGTGTTTTTGGGTCCACTTCAATGCAGTATTTCATTCCCAATATTTCCTTTACTCATAGGAAATTAGATAAATGGCTGGCACATCATTTGAAAAATAAAGAGGAAACAAATTACCATTCAAATTTACCATTATTATTTCTTATCTTTAAAAGAAGAAATTTACATACGCCAAAAGTAGCCACTTTAAAAGTAAT